TTAACTTGCGTAACAATGATTGACCTTCACTGTATGTTTCACCTTTGTTCATCTGGGAAAATACACAATTCTGGTAATGGATTTAAGAAAAATAGGGGGTGGTGTGTTATGTAATCTGTGTCAGCGACCACTGGGATTTGCAGCAACATAAAACATGTTTTCAGCCTCTTTTATTTGGTGGCAAATCTCCCATTCTCAGGCATGTGCCAGGTGATTTACACACAGCCATACAACTGCTCTTATATAAGGATATGTTTGGTATTTTTTACAGAAAATGATGAGAAATAGATACACCTAGGAGTTTTATCTGCATGAAGCCCAATGGGTTTTTAATGCATGTGTTATGTTTTCCTTTATTTGATTGATTTCTTTTAAATATCTGATTTATTCAATCCACGTAAGTGTGTTATAAACAAATGGATGTGGCAATAATTTCCTGTTGAGTTTTATTACTGTTATCTGTGCATGTTGAGATGTTTAATGTAAAGAAATGTATTGGGAGAAATACTTTACCCACAAAATGTCCATTTGTACATCGCATACCACAATGAAGAGTGAAAAACTGAGAAAAAGTCAAACGCTTGCTAAGGCCTGCTTCACAAAGTATTTAAAAAAGTAAATTATAATAATAATAATAAATTGAATTTATATAGCGCTTCTCATCTGCCAAGACAAATCCCGAAGCGCTTAGGGATATTGTGAAGAAGTGAACATGCAACTGGATAAATTAGACCTGGATTACATGCACTACTTATATAATAGTTCCTACAAAGAATTTCCTATAATAATTCAAGACAACAGTAATTTATATAAAAGTGGACACTATGTGGGTGAAGTGTTCCTTTAATCTTCAATATTGCATCCTATATTGTTCATTGCATCAGATCTATCTATCTGTAAAAATACCTGAAATGTCAGACAAATGTAGCCGAGATTAAAGTACAATACTTCACAGTGAAAAGTCAAATAGGTTGCAAACAATACTTAATTAAGTTGCTGAAACTCGGTGACTAGAATTAAGATGTTTGAAAGTAAAAATGTGTTGAAACATCTCATACGTCAATGCATGAAAACAGTGACAACACAACATCACAAGGACACGTGATGTTCAAAAACAAATGGTAGTCATGCTGAAAATGCACATCATATCCAGGAATGTACCTATAGCGATGATCAATAAAAAGCTGATTGATCATTGATGAACGTATGTTGCAATCATTTCCTGTTGACAATGGTTGTAGAGGATGCTGGGAACAATGAGGGGACTGTATTGAGGGATTTTGAGAATAACAGACACATACATGTCGTCTTCTAAATTGCACTCTGTTTTGAAGGTGTGTGTCCCCAGCCAATGAGGATGCAGCATTCACATGCGTCACTTTGAGCAGCAGGGTGGGGGGGGGGGGGGGGGGGGGGGGGGGGGGGGGCTGTGCCTATTATAAACCCAGTGACTGCGCCTTTTCTCCACAGACAAGAGAGAAGAACTCAAGACTACAACAGGACTCCGAACCAGAAAAACTCAAAAGAAGAACTTTTTATAAAACTTTTTTTGTCTTTCATATTTTTCTACATTCTGAACAGCCGGGCTCTGAATCTAAGTTTTTTGCCGCTTTGGAATTTGATTTTCTGTGCTTTAAAAAAGTGCACATTTACACATTTTTCTTCCCTCATCTGACACTTTTTCAATCTTCTGCAATGTTTCCAGAGTCAAACAAAGGGTGAGTACACTTTTGTACAATGTACAGCTTTTTGTTTTCAATGCTGCTGAACACATGGCCCCTTCATGGGGCTGTCGGCAAAAATACATAACGGTTTGGAACGAGGCCAAAACAAATCAAACACGTGCTCTCTGGACAGCAACTGTTTAAAAAAGAAATCTTAATATTTGTCCTGAAGGAGTCCATAAAGTGTTGCTTTACACTTTTTATCACATTTGTACTTGTTAGGCCAAAAATGATATCAATATTATTTGGTAGTGGTGTTCATAGTAGGTTCAGTATCAGAGTAATTTATTAATAGCACAGTCTTGTGAATCCAGTGAATGGCACAGTCTCGTGAATCATGCTTGGGATTGTGTAGAAACAGCTTGTCATATGAAAGGTATTACACAAACTGTAGAATTAAAGGAATCAGCGACAGTTATCAAATAAGCAAGCAAAAAAAGATTGTGCGTGTCGCCATTTAATTGTATAAAAGGCGTGATACAGCCTGTGACTGCAGGAATGTGTGTGTGTGTGCATCTCTTCAAACACATCCTTATTAGTAGCCGTTCTCAGATCAGGCTTGCTGCCAAGAAAATCCGTTAATCTGATTATAATGATCACATCACATGATACTAAATTAATCAGAAGGTCAAGCTAGGTGGAACAAAAGATGGTCTTTGCAGTCAAACTGACCTTAGAGTTTCTTTTTGTGTCATCCAGCTGGAGCTACGAGGACTGCAAGGCCACTGCTGATTGGCTGCTGGCCCAGACCGACGTGCGGCCCACTATTGCCATCGTGTGCGGCTCTGGGATGGGAGGGCTGGCTGACATGTTAAAGGACCAGGTCGCCTTCAACTACAAGGACATCCCCAACTTCCCACAAAGCACCGGTGAGTTCAGCTACAACAAACACCTCAGAAACAAATTGGTTCCCCATTTGGCGTTCAAACTAAGTGAATGTTTTTTCTTCCTGTAGTGCACGGACATGCAGGCCGACTGGTGTTCGGCACCTTGAAGGGGCGGCCATGCGTTTGCATGCAGGGTCGCTTCCACTTGTACGAGGGCTACCCAATCCAGAAGGTGTGTGTGCTGAAGAAAAGAATCCCATGAAACCTTTAAAGATGCTGAAAGATCCTTTAAACCCAAGTCCCTTCTGGTTGTATAACATCCATGTGTGTGTTTCCAGATCACGCTGCCCATACGCATCTTCAAGCTGATCGGTGTGGAGACGGTGATGCTGACTAATGCAGCCGGAGGCCTCAATCAGGACTTTAAGGTTGGAGACATCATGATCATCAGAGACCACCTCAACATGCCGGGCTTCGCTGGCAACAACCCGCTGGTCGGACTCAACGACGAGAGGTAGGAAGTCCTGACAGTCTTTCAGACATTGAACAGTATCACCCTTTGGTCTTTGCCCGATTCTAAACCTTCCATTTGTTCCTCTTCGTGCAGGTTTGGAGTGCGTTTCCCCTGCATGTCCGACGCCTACGACAGAGATCTGCAGCAGATGGCCATGGATGTGGGACAGGAACTCGGCTACGGAGACTTCCTGAAGGAGGGTGTCTACTGCGTGTTGGGCGGACCCTCATTCGAGACCATCGCCGAAGCCCGTATGCTGCACAAACTGGGCGCTGATGCTGTCGGTAAGAAGTGTTTCATGGATTTTTTGCCACTAAAATTGAATTTTCTATAGTTATAGTACATGGGCAGCATTGGTGTGCTTTTAAAGCTGTAGAAACGGTGGCCATTTAAAATAATTTGTAAATGGCCACAAGTAAAGTAAAGCTAGCTATAATATTTCTTCTTCTGCGGATAAAAGCAAGACATCACATAACATAGCATGGTTTCTATGTAGTTAAAACATGTTATACTTATCTGTCCTCTCCAGGCATGAGCACAGCCCCTGAGGTGATCGTCGCGCGTCACTGCGGCATGCGTGTCTTCGCCCTCTCGCTGATCACCAACAAGGCGGTGATGGACTACGACAGCGAAGAGAAGGCCAACCACGAGGATGTCCTCCAGACGGGCAAGCAGCGAGCGGAGCAGCTGGAGCGGCTGGTGTCCACCATGGTGACAAAGATCGAGCACAACAACAACTACGCCTAAGAGATGCCGTGCCAGACAGACGCTAGATTTGAACCTTTCAGTGTGACTGAAGGGGACTTAAAGTGGTTGATATTTAATGCTATGGTGCCAAATATCCCACTTAGTTAAATATTTAGGTGAGCGGTGCGGCTGTTTTTAGTCTTAGGTCAAAAGAAGATAATATTGTCGTCCTCTGGAGAACACAGCCTTTGTTTTCATGCCTTAACAGACGTCTTACATTCCTCTATCGTGCGGCTCCAGACGAAAATGTTTATTTTTATCATTTTGAGACTTATTTGTTCTAACTTAAAAGATGTGATCAGTTTGTGTAAATGTCTGCAATTTAACTTAACAATGAGCTCAAAAATCTGTTATTTTTATGTTGTTGAAATGTGTTCATTAGTGGACTTAAAGTATTTTAAGGTGTTTGTTTTTTCATATGAATGTTGTTACTAAAAAGGTACTATTTATTACTAAATTGAGTTTGTTTGTGTCGTTCTTTGGGGTGCAGAGGAAAACATATTTTCTTTGATTAACACATCACACAATAAACTGAAAAAACTGAAAAACGCTGACTTTTATTATGTGTTTTATGTCACCAAATCTCACGTAACTGTATTAGGTTAGTTGAAAGCAATAACATATAAACATAAATATTATGTTCAACTTAATAGTATTGCTTTCAACTAACCTAATACAGCCTAACCTAATTTGTTGACATAAACCATTTAATTAAAGGTAGGGTAGGTAAGTTTGAGAAACCGGCTCGAGATCACTAGAATTTGAAAATGCACAACCGGAGAAAATCTGCCACTTCCTTATAGAGCCCCTCCTCCAACACACACGAACGTGCACATGACCAATGAGGGCACGAGATAAGTTTGTGCCCCGATGGAAGGCTGACAGGCAGGTAGGCCATCCAGTTATTTTAGCCGGCCCGGCTAAAATGATTGGTCGTACTTTTTACAGTATTACGGCTTCCACAGATGACATTTTTTAATGGATTTTTTGTCAAAGCACTTAAGATATTCATTGCTATCGGGATGTTAAGAGCATTCCATGGAATATAACAAAAAGTGTATCTCGAGCCGGTTTCTCAAACTTACCTACCCTACCTTTAAAGTCAACAATTCAGTTTTTTCAGTGTACGAATATAATAACATAACTCAGACTTAATATATGAAAAATTAATGGATATCGAACCAGAGACTCGTAAAATCCCATTTATTTGCAAAGTGTGTATTGAAGTTGTACAGAGACGCTACACAGTAAGCCAATGTATTGCATGATGCTTGGGTCCAAAAGGGCCCAGAATGTTGCCAGTGTAAACGTTAGGTAATGTTACATAAGCATTACGCTGCAAAAACTGAAGACAGGAATGCTGGCATTGTCGGAGTATTAAACAAATGTAAGGGTTTGGTTGTCACTTTTTGATTAAATGTTTCAAATTCTTCGACTTACAAAAGCACAGAAATATTTGGCAGAACAAACTATTTTGGTATTTGAAACAACTCTGGTTGATAAGATAGTAAAAACACTTAACCATACTTAAAACACTTCTCTTTCTCCCCAAAAGTGACATATTATTTTGGAATACAAACCTTCATATAAAACACTTGCTCCCATTAAACAGAAACTAGGCAGGCAGACAATATATGACATTCCACACTGCATGCATACAACATCTCCACGCATCTTGCATAATAGTTTACCTTCACCCAAAGTATTCACGTGTTCCCGTTAAAGGCAAAATTAAACAATGCCGACATCCCTTTTGAAACCACTAAAACATCCATTTCCAACCATGATATAAAAGATTTTGTTGTCATATTTTGCAAAACAGTCAGTAAAAAGTGCCATGCATAATTATGCCTTAAAGCTAAACAGGATTATTTTTAAAGAAATATAACTTGACACATTCTCTATGATACAGCACTCCGCGCTACAGGGCCCAGTGAAGCAGAAGATGTAAACGAAAGTGCCTCGCTGGCGACATCGCTACGGAGGCAGAGTAGAGATACATACTCTGCACATTCATATGTTGGCTGGAGAACAAGCTAGCGCACTTAGCAGCTCTTCACATCGGGCACAAAGATTGTGAAAACTCGAATTGTTTTTCTAAAAAATTTAAATCTGAGAGGAGTCCTTTGCAGATTATCCTCAGGGACATTAACTCTTTGTGGACTAGCCACTGGATTGTTTTCACTTCAATACATTGATTTAATCAGAAATCTGTATTATAGGTATTCAATTTCTTCTTCTGACACTCTAAAGTATCCCTTGCTTATAATGTGTAAATCATGTTTAAGTAATTGTTGATTGCTCATTTTAGATATAAACACTGTTAAAATCAAAACCACGAATCGACAAAAAATATCACATTTAATATACATGTAAAAAAAAGGGCAAAAATAATCATTTTGGTTGAGTTTCAGGGCGGTGTGGACAGAAAACCAATTATTTTGTTACTTTTCAACCTCCTTGGCTTAATTTCCTACATGAGTTTGGATTATCTTTTATTTGGTTTACTGAAACAGCTGATGTGGATAACCAAACCAGACATTTGAATGGGGATATAAAATGTTAAAGATAAGGGTGTAACTTTTAACAAAATACATTATGTTTTATTTCTAAACTAAAAATCTATCAAAACTACAATTAGGGACATTTTGTCTCCACCTACTGAAATTAAACCAATATGTTTATTTCTGCCTCCAATAAAATGTTTGTATAGTTAAAAATGTTCCCGCCTGCAGTCAGTGTGACCGCAATGTTGACCGCCAGGCTACAAGAACTGAGTGTCCCTCCGTTGGCAAAGCAGGTGGCAAATAAAGGTTTGGCACATTTCCAATGTAGGCACTGTAAAGATTGATTTACAGTCTTTTAGCATCAGAGCGCCTCGACGCAAGAGGAAGAACTGGTGGAGAAAAGGCACTTCTGAAACCACACATACTGGGCCTGGAGCTGCGGGATGCAGTGCAACATTTACAGAAGAGTCCTCTCGTCTCTAGGCAAACATGGTCAGGGTAATCCACTGCAGAGAACACAGAGAGCGTGTGAATTAGGGGATGCTAATTGTAAGGTATTCACAGAAATGGTGAGTAGATTTCCAACGCAAGCTTGAAAAGCTAAGACATTGTTTGTGTAGCATTTATGTTCACGTGTGTGGCCGTACCTGCGTGAAGTTGAGGGACATCATACCATCTCCATCCGTGTCCATGGTCTGAAAGGTTTCTGCAGAGACAGAAACAAAGAGAAAACACTTATTTTACTATCACCAACTTACTATTATTATACTCTTTTGTAAGTGTAACACAAGCATTTGTATTTCTTTTTTAGGTTATACGTTGTTTTGTTTTTTACCCAGAGACATGTACAGTATGTTGTTTATTTTTTTAATTATGGACATTAATTAGCAATAGGCTACAATAGCATACATGTATGTATTAGTTTGAGCCATACAAGCTCCACCAATAACAGTAAGGTAGACCCAAAAATCGTAATATTTTAATATAACTATAAGTTAGGCGTTACATTTATTTTGTTAACGTTAGCTATCTATGCTAATGTTGTTAGCAACGTTGGCACTTAACGTGAACGTCAGTTGTTGATAGCATAGATAGCTAACATTAGCGACCTAATACTGTTATTTGTGCATTACAAGTTATTTTGAATTAAAGTAGCATTGTTAACCTTGGAGGTTCAATTACAAATGCTATTGTTTGATCTTGGTTTGACTTTTTGTGGTAAATTAAGGGAAAATGTGTCTTGAATGGCATTGAGGTGGTGCAGTCATGGGACTCACTGAACATGGTCTCCAGTCGGACCAGACAGGTGACAAAGTTGTCAAAGTCCACAGCCATGTCGGCCTCCGTGTAGCGCAGGATGATCAGCTGGAACAGTTGGTTGGTCAGCTTAAAACCTAAAGAAGAAAACACAAACAGAAAAAATTAGGCCATGTTTTACAGAATAATAATCAAAAGCATCAGAAAAATATGAAGATCCAGAGGGGAACACGTAAACCCTGTGAAGAAGAGTGAAAATTGCTTCTGACTTTTGTGTTACTACTTATTTTTTCTTGTATTTAAATGAAAAGGGACAGTACCTGCAGATTCAAGAGCCATCCTCATCTCATAGGAGCTCATGGTTCCTGATTTGTCCAGGTCGAACTGCCTGAAGATGGTCTGGCAGGGAAACAGAAAATGGAGAATGGAAAAAAACTAGTATTTAGGCATGTCGACAGGAAGAACATGAGAAAAAAATGGTCGACTGATCGGTTGTCAAAACAAACAACAGGCTGACGCAGGAACCATGACGCAGAATCAATATTATTGAGCCTGATCTGGGTTAAATCTCACCAGGTATCGCTTAATCTTTTCCCAGAGGACATGGAACTCTGTCAGGCCGAGCTTCCCACTGCCATCCGTCTGAGCACAGGAGTTAAGGAACAACCAGTACGAGAACAAAATAAACTTCATATTTTTTAAAGGGGACCTATCATGCAAAATGCACTTTTGTACGTCTTTTATACATGAATATGTGTCCCCGGTGTGTCAGTGAACTCACCAAGTGTCAGAAAACACAACCCTCTCTCTTTTCCTCCATACCCAAATCTCTAAAAACGGGGCTGCAACGGAGCTGATACAGATTTGAAATTGTTCTGACGTCAGAAACAGGGAGCTCTGCCTATATGGGCAACTCTCCACCTATCAGGGGAATGGGGGGTTGGGCCACGGCCACGGCCATTGCCGCTCGAAAGCGCTGGAGACGCTGTAGTACATATGCCAGGCCTGTAAGTGGCGCTGTAGTCTGCCACAAAAGCAGCGAAGAAGACTTCTCACAGAATCAGCCATTGCAAAAACAGGGCTGGAAAAGAGCAAATATAGCGAAATGAGGCATGGCTAAAATGCATGATCCGTTTGGTATTTTGAAAAGAAAACTTCACAGACATGTTTTATATAGGTATGGCCCTACAATATATTATTCAAATATAGCATGATAGGTCCACTTTAAAATAGTATCACAAGCACCCAATTTGAAGGGAAAGTCTATAGGAGTACATGAAACACCAAGACACCAAGTTGTGACAAGGAAGAAAAGTGTATTGAATTATTTCAAACTGTCCATCACAAGTCCAACAATGGGACTGCAATGCTAAACTTGGGGAGTGCCTTTGTTTAATGAAGCATTTTTTTCTGAACCTTTCATATCAAAGTTATATTAATGCTGATATTTTGATGCCATTTCAAGGATACGTCCATTAGGTTTATCATACTGCGACAAGCCTCTTTTGTGAAGCCGTCTGTCTTCAGGTCTTTATCTGTTTGCATCAGAAAGTCAAACAAAAAGAGAGAGGAATATCAAATATAACACACGGTAATTCCATATTATCATATGCCAGCTTGTATTTCCAGGGTGATTGCAGCAGTTACTAACGTTTGCCGATGATCCTGTTCAATATGGTTTGCAGCTCGGTGAGGCTGATCTCCATATCCTGTTGAAATAAAGACAGTCAAATCATTGAAATATAACTAAAAGCTTTACCCTGAAACATTTGTCAAAGCGTTCTTACCGGCCCTGCCAGCTGTCTGAAGAGATTCTTGAAGCTGGCATCGATTTGGCTCTCGTCCAGCTCGATCTGAAACACAAACATTTCAGTACACTTTGGTTCCTCTCCACACAGTTTTAGCAATTATGTGAAGTTATTAAATCTTCTCACCTCTGTTGGAAGCTCAGCTATTACTTTATCATCAAGCTCCCTGACATGGAAAGCAGAAACATTTAGAGTTACTTAGATGCTTATCTTAAGATACACATTTTTTTTTTACTTTGCTAAGGAGATGATGTTTTCAGCTTAATTTGTCTGTTTGTCAGCAGGAATACTAAAACAAATCAACTGGCCCAATGTTCTTGTAACTTGGTGAAAAGGTGTAGCCTGGAGCCAATTAGAATAACGGAGGGAAAACAGACTTTCCAACTCGAGAAATGTGACCACCAGAGGAGCACTTGAACGCACCATTGGCCTTGGGGCAGGTCTCCGCTCTCCAAATGCCATTCTATTGTAAAAGCTGTTTCTTTCTCTGTTTCTATGTTGTTTTTAGCTGCATATGTATTGTATTCATTACATGTACTAAAGATAATACTTAATACAATTGACAGTACACTTAACCTGGAAATAATCTTTGTCACAAATTGTAAAGCACTTACACATCACTGTACCCTGTATGCCAAGGCAGGTTTGCCATCACTTACTGTACGGAGGCTAAACTCCCGTATTATATCTGCTCTCTGATAACACAGAGAATTGCAAGCAGCTATTGTCTGAGATCGCATGATGTAGTATTGTTAGATGCGCCAAGAGCAAGGACTGTCTTAGGTAAGACAGCTTTTATGTGCGCAGCTCCACTTGCTTGGAACAATCTTCAGCAAGAATTGAAACTGAGCAATCTCATTCCTCTGCATGTTTTTAAAGCTAGGCTAAATGAAATGCTTGTTGATACTATGGGTACTTGTAAATGTCTATAACTATGTAAATGTATCCTGTAAATATAATGTATGATGTCCTTTATTGTTTTATGTTTCATGTGGAACCTATATGCTGCAGGTCTCCCTTGAAAAAGAGATCTATGATCTCAATGGGACCAATCTGGTTAAATAAAGGTTTGAAATGAAATGAAATATTGTAGAATTAAAGAATAGCTGCTTATTTTCGCCCCCAAAATCTCATCTCATGCCCAAAGCATCCTCTCTGCCTCCTCCCACTCTGTCACAGCCACTCACTCGGAGTCTGCGGGCTTCTCAGAGAAAACTCTGAGGCAAAAGTCGGCCTCTGTGTGCGGCTCGAAGGTGGAGGGGACGATGATGTACTCCCCGGCCGGCAGACTCAGCCGCGAGCTGACCTCCCTCAGGTTGACGAAGAGCTCTGAGCGGGCGCTGGAGCCGTGGGTGAGGAAAAAGTCTCGCTTCAAGTGGACGCCTGAGCTGCCCTTAAACTGAGAGGGGAGGGAAATAGTATGCCTTCAATAAAGACTATAAAATCAAAAGATGAAAAAAAAATTGAAAAAAGGTGAAACACATACCTCTTTTGGAATCTGTAAAGAATGGAGAAAGGGGGATAATTACTATGATGGACGATATCATGAACTACAAAATACATGAGAAAAGCTACAAAATAGAGATTATCTGGCTAAACTGAAATAAAGAACAAAGTTTGAATCCTGAAACGTGACATTGTAACATCTGTTATAAAGATAGCTTTTAAGTGTTTAACAGTGTCTTAGTTTTACTTTTTTACACAGGCATTATGTTAATGTTCTCCAAGGGGAAAGGCTAAAACATGACCATTTGTTGGTTTTACGATGACGTTTTTAGCACTGCTTTTTAGGCTTCACATTACCTCGTAGAGGGCAAACCCGATGGTCTCCATGTCTTTGCCCTCCCGCCTCTTCTTCCTCCGGTCCTTCTGCATGAGGCCGACCAGGAAGCTGCAATCTGATTGGCCAGGAGTGTCGGGATGCTGCAGAGCAATCTTGAACTGAGGGTTGAGCCAAAAGGTTGCTGGGAAGAAGGAGTTGGGAAAGTCAGATTGTAAAACATTTATTAGTATATATTAGTTTTTATCCATCAAAATTCCTATGCATATTCAGTGTCTCTGAAACAGAATACAACGCCACCATATGATCCTAAAACTGAAAAAGAAAATGAAACTGGATCGTGTTTTGAAACAGATCTTCTATCATATATCGTCATTTATTTCTACTTCCGGTTCCTTCCTCCCATCCATTTTCTAGCTCACACTTCCTACCTGGGAAGTTCCTGCAGCCTCCGGCCGTGCTGCCCCGCCTCCACTCGCCCTGATACAGCGACGAACTCCATTTCTTCGGCTGGCTGTTCTGCAGGGCATCAGCCGTCAGGTTGCAGAGCTCCAGACGAGTGAACTCATGCAGGAAGTCACTGAACGACATCCTGACAGACGTACACAAACATACTGTTAGTAGGACAGGGTTGTTTTTCCATCACAAAGTCCAAGAGTCTAAGCTTGTCTCAGCACAGACGAAAACACTGACATTTCAACATATACTGCATCAATGTATCAAACTGACAAAGGGAAACAGATGTGAAACAACAATAAGACACATCTGTAGGCCCTGAATTCAAGTTTGGTTTGATAATGTGTGTTTTTACAAGTAAACTGATGGTAAGAGGCACTCACCAGAATTCACCGTCCTCACTGCGGTTTTGTAGCCGACTTCTGACGGAGCGATCCACATTGTCCCATTCTCTGGAGCTGTGGATTTCACGAAGTTAAAAGAGAACTGTTCATGAATTGTATAACTAAGGCAGCACTTTTCCTCATTGGTACTGTACATCCAAACAGCAAAAGAAACAAATGTTACTGAACGTGGTGTTGTTTCTTCAAATGTTATTCAACAGGGGAAGTTTCACACCATTTTCAGTATGTGAAGTGTTCAAAATTCGACATATTGGTAGCCAGGGGGGAAATTGTGTAGAATGCTTTTCTTACTCCAGGGATATAACTAACACCAGTGTGATTTTGGAGAGATTAGGAACATCCTGGCCAAAATTACAGGTGCAAATTCGGCAGCCATAACACCAGCTCTGCCAGATTTAGAAGACCCTCCTTTAAAATGTTTTGAGTAAAACACTTTTGTTTGCTTAAACTAGAGAGGGAAAACTAACACCAGTGTGATTTTGGCGAGATTAGGGTAGATTCAGAAGCGCCCCTTTGGTATTTGTAATAACTATTATTTAATCCAAATCATTTCTCCCCTCTGTCTGACTTGTCTTCTAAATCCTGAGGACAGATGAGAAGCCAAGTAAGCTGAATTTTTTGGGAGGCAATCTTAAAAGAGACAGGCACTGAAACGGAGCGTCTCGGAGCGAAGACAGGTTCAAACAGACAAAATTAGAAAAACAATGTGTTTTTCCTTAGAAACCCTCAATTTAAGCATGAACCTGAAAATAACCATGATATATCCTCTTTAACTGCCCATAAAAACTACAACAAAATTCAGTATTTATCAAGATATAAGAAATGTAATCAGAGTGAAAACATCCTTCCAACATTTAAGACCTTCACACTTGTCTCCATTTAAAGGCTAAATTGGATGTAGTTAGTGTAAAAATCATCCTACTTGTCGCTCCACGCTCCGGTCCACTCCACTTCCCCCCAGGGGTTCCTGATGCGAACCAACTTGGTCTTATTTCCTCTGTAAACGACCTGAGGGCAAGAAGACATTTACACTTCGTCACTACTTAGGTCTCCTGGGGTGAGTGCGTATCACAAACGCCCTGCACACGTCTTTCTGTGTATCTACTGTCGGCAACTCTGAAATTAAATGTCACAGTTTAACAAACCCTAACAAATGGAGCTATCCTCTCCACCATTTGAAACAAATTAACTTCAGTTACAGAACATAATGATACTGATTATAAAAGACCTATGATGCATTTATCATGTGACAATATCATAAGAGATGCAACATTACTAAGGGCAATGAACCCATGATACATTTAGGGTTTCAATCTATGATTTTATAAGTAAAAATGCAGTTTTTAAAGTTAACTTTACTGAATAAACTCCAGTGCATTCCTGTACTCGAGCAGTTTTGAGAGCCAAAATCGGCAAAAGTAATATTTCTTTATATAAAACCTACTGATAAATGGTTAAATCCTTTTAATACGTTGCTTGAAAAGCATCATCAAAGGTTTTTTCAAGGAGTAAGTCAATGTGTGTTATAAGGAAGAACATTTGCTAAGAATAAATTGAATTACAAGTAAATAGTCCCAACGTTTTTTCCTCACTCTTTACAGTTCTGACATTTTGGATCTTGGCCATTGCAAAAGTCACCATGCTGCCATTTTGGCTGAGGAATTGGATTTGACTGTGAACCGCTCACCTCGTCCACACCGGTCACAGAGTAGGCGTGTCCCTTCACCAGCTTCTTGAACGTCACAGCCTCCTTGTCCACAGAGCTGGTGATCTGAGGAGAAACAGCGCGGTCAGTGACGTCTATAAAGTGATTTACAGTCAGGAGGAACTGCACACTGCTGCTCCACATGTGACTAGTTGGAGACATTCACATTCAACTCATTATCGAGGTCAACAAACTTTAGCTTTTTTGATTTTCCTGTGGACATTTATTTAGTTGATATGTTTTTCAGTTAAAGTAAGTCCCATGCAATGCAGACAATAACAGTGTTAAATAAATGAGGGTTTAAACTCATTTTTAAATGCAAAAAATATATATTGGTATATATTGATCCCACATTTGTTGAGCTTACTAAATGGGAGTCATTACATATTATTTCTTCAATATTTACAATTTTAAATGTGTAAAAAATGCAAACTATAAATGTAAAAGGTGCAGTTTAGAACCTAAACTTTGTATTTTAAGCATTTATCCAGAAGACTGTTCGCTATCGGTGAATTGTAAGCTGTACTCTGCTCTGTTTGTGGATGTGCTTTTATTGTATTTTTGTTGAATTTGTTAATTTGCAAATGTAATTATATTCTTCGTCTGTACTTTAAACTGATTTCTAGTATCTGCACACTTTTGATTTTATAATTTTTTTTGCATTATTCTGTAATCTGCCACATGTCCAATGTTGGGGAATGTTCGGTTGTGTTTGTGTAATGTGATAAATAAAAGTGTAATCAATAAATACATTAGATTAGAATTTCTATCCTATTTTTTAAACCTTGTTGCGGTTAAACCAAAGCTCTTTAAACTTTGGTATTGGGTCTTTTACTCCAAAATGACCTGGAATGGCAGTCCTCCCTACCCAGACTTGGCAGCACAGGGAGGCATGGTAAGTACAGAAAATGACCAGACAGACAGAGTTCAGTCCCCTCTGTCTGCAAACACCCCGTGTCCTGGAAAGATTTGCTGATTTCATGCCAGCTTTTACAACAGGTTTCTATATCTTCGCTGCCCTCTCCTGGCTCAACACCACATTTTTCTTACATGTATTTACATTCACAGCACTCTTTCATCATTATTTACTTCTCAATTCACCAATATTCTGAGACTGAGGTTAAAAAATACTTTATATCAACAACAATTCTCTATTTTAAGTGCTAGTAAGTTTAATATACTTTCTGTATTCTATGATGTAATTTGAATCTGTTTGGTTTCCCCTCCCCCCTTGTGAAAATCCTCCCAACCATTGGACTTCCACGGTCAGCATGTCTGGCTATTTTTTTACCTTTCACCTGCCCTCACAGGGGGTCAAATTAAAGTATGTGTTGTGTTAGATACGGTACTACAAAGATTAACTGTCACCTATTGGATTTGTAAGAAGTGTCAAAGCACTACAACCTACTGTTTTCATTATTAAACAATTGATAATGATTGTATTCTCGCAAATTATTTGGTATAAAACACTACCTGAAGTGTATTTTACAATTAAACAAAAAGCACAGAGAAGTGAATAACTTATATCATAACTTATATCATAACTTTTTTTTTACTAAGTACTTTTTAATGCATATGTAACATATGTAACATTAAGCTGTCTGTGGCTCTTTTTCTGCTGTAACAACGTACATTTCCCCTCTGTGGGACTAATAAAGGTATTCTGATTCTGAATAAGAGAAAATCTTCACATTCGCGAATTACCTTTTTGGTACTATTACTACTTGAAATTAGTTGTTTAATGAATTGATTTAACTGATAACTCCAGTACTGCATCATATAACTTTGAGGTTAATCATTTAAGTGTGATTTAAAAAAAGAAAAGTGAGTGGAAGTTAGGAAAATGGGGACATTTCCATAAGGAGCACTAAGAAAAAGGTTGACTTTTTAAAGTGAAACCCAGCCGACATGTAATACAAACTTAGATAATGGCATGTTTTAATTTTTCCTTTAAAACAGGCTCTTTCTTTTCATCGTATGAAATACAACTGTCCTTTTTGAACTGTCAATCGCAAACGAGTCAAAGGAGTAGTTGGACATTTTGAGTAAATGCTTATTTGCCTGAATACGATTGATACCACTCTCATGTATATATGGTAAATATAAGGCTAGCACCTGTAGCTTATCTTAGCAAAAAGACTGGAAATAACTTCAAAGCTGAAGCATGAAAGTTGCAGTACTGACGTCTATGGAGCAGCCCAGCAGCGACCCTCTTTCTATGGCCCTGTTGATGATGCTGTAGAGGTCGGAGGGGGCTTTACTCAGCTCGAACATCTCCGTCACGCCGCCTGTGAAGTCCTCAAAGCCCTCGGACGTACTGCCCCCTGACAGAGCCTCATAACAGCCGTTCAACCTGGGACACAACAGGAGATTAATGAGGATTACAACTCTTTCAAATACAGTACAAATGGGAAATATTATATATACTTGCAGGCCTTAAATGGAATCTATAGACTGGACTGTTGCTAAGGGGGAACAGTTAATAAACACTTACTGCTCCACACTGTGCGACACTACCATATACAGTATGTACCTTCATACAGTATAGGGTAAATGTAACCATGCATAAATCCTGCTTTTTACATCACACTCTTAGCGTTTCTTCTCTTTAACTGGGAAGCCCCCTTCACTTGGCACGCTGACACTTATTCAAACAATGCTGTGATTCACTATAACAGCTAACCAGATTTACAACTGAGACCACAGCTGTGCACCAGAGCAGCTGCAGTCTCAAGTGTGTGTCAATGGTGTTCCAAGGAAAGATTTTCTACATCCAGAAACTCTCCCACGACAGGCTTCATTGTACAAAGTCGTGCCTCAAACTACGGTCCTCAACAGGCCTTAACTTGGGATCATCCGAGTGAGAGTGAAATACTGAGACTACAACTTGAGCAGACCCATATTCATTATGTTGTGTTTATATTAAGATGGATTAAGCCTAAATATGGGCTGCTAACTGGAATAAATAACAAAGAATGTTAATTGTAAGTGTGCTTGTGTAATAATATCTTCAATTCATTACAGACACTGAAACTGTATCACAAAGCTAACGAAAAAGCAGCAATCGTCCCATTTTGTACAATTGATTATGAAGCAGGGAAAGGTGCTATTTAAAATCGTATGAAATTATTAAAACACTGTTGCAATTGTGATGCAGATGCATAAAAACTGGCCAATCACAGCAAACCTGGCTGTTTAAGTGTTCTTAAAGAGACATGCACTAAAATAGAGCAGTTCAAACAGATGGTAAATACGGATATAATTAGACAGGAATTATGAGAAATAGAATGTGTTTTTCTACATCAAGGCATGTAAACATGTTGTATTAGAAACTCAAAATACAATTATGAACCTTACAAATAAAATATGTCCCCTTTAAACAACCAAAATGTAGTCAAATGTAGCTAACATTCAAGGTATGATGTGGGCATTCTACTAAAAGTTAAAGCTGGTAGCAACAACAATATACATTTGATATAGTGGCATTTAAAACAACATTATTCAGTTCGTTACGTCCGTCAGTCTTACTTGGCGTAGGCCTTTTCCAGCAGTGCGCTCCAGAACTCGGTCCCCTCTGCCGAGTGGACAAACAGCAGCTTCCCATCCTTCACCGGCAGCCGGTCATCGATCACCACCTCCACCCACTCGCCAAACTGCCAGAACTGCATGAGAAACACGAGAAAACACCAGTATTAAAACTGACAAAGTTTAGAAGGTTACACAAACTATTGAAGGGAGATAAAGCAATGTATTTCAACTATAAAGCTTGCCGGTCATTCATCAAACCCAGGACTATATATTGAGTTTTTCTTAAGCTTTTTTAAGTACCTTAGAGCTGTTCTTCAGTACATTTACTTTCCATTAATAATGTGGAAATAAAGAGGACAGATAAACCTGCTGCAAGTACAACTAGTTTCTCAATTAGGTCTTCAGAAAAACTCCATTAACAGCTGGAGTCTGGAGTTATTCATTTCGGGGATTTTAAAGTTTCTCAGTTCAAGTGGGCAAAGGGGAGGGTAAAGATGAATTTGAAAGTATAACAGCATTAGTGTAGATAATAGTCTAGACTAGGAGGCCTCTATTTGAAGCCGTATCACATCTCCAGAATGTAATTTACACCTTGATGCCAGAACATCCGGCACACACAGAGATGAGTCTGAGCTTTACAGGAACATGGTGGCTCATTACAAAATGAACTTTATATGCAGATTTAGAGATTATTTGAAAGCCATCAAATGCTTCGCTTCAGGATACATTTCTGATGTTGTGTTAGATGTACTGCTCCCTGCTGGCCAACAGGCACACAGCCACGTGGTATTTAAGCATAAAGTGAGAAAACTATTCAGAAAACCCTGAAACCATTAACCTCAGTTCACCTGATGCATTGCAACACTTACTTTTTTTCTCCTGATTCATCATCTTCAATATGTAGGCTCGCCTAATTGCTATGCATATTTACTAAACTGGTAAACCGATGGTTTGTTTACAGGACTGGTTTTGAGATATTTAAATGATCAGTGGTGGTGCTGGAGTTTGAGTTTGACCAGTTAGTCTTAGTTGAAACACAAAAGCTTCCTAGGAAACTTCAGCATGTCTCAGAAATCTTCTCTTAAACTTCCCATGGTGGTTTCCTTTGTGTAGCAAGGAAAAAACAAGGCGTTGAAATGCAGCAGGTGAACTCAGGTTAATACACTTTTGCTTGTAAACCGATGGTTTGCTTGCAGGACTGGTTTTGAGATATGTAGCTTGAAATGCAGCAGGTGAACTCCGGTTAAGAAAGGAGAGGTTAGTTTCTCTGAAATGTTTTCAAAAGGAGATTAAAAGACAAATACATTACTGTGTGGCTGTTGGCCAGCAGAGGGCAGAAGAGGCCAGCAACATATATATTCTGTATGTACTCTATGAAGTCTCTTTAAACAAAAACCAGGGTGTTGTAATAGATGCCACTCTTTCACAGACTCATCATATAGAAATTATTTGTGAGAAGATACAGCATTTACTTTACTTACTGGCTGCAGTAAGACCTGGAACATTAGCCTATAAATGAAACCGTTAACTATATTATCAAATCCATTTTTCTGCAAATACAACTGGCCATATGGCACACTGCTTTCAAGCACCTGACAACCTGTGCATGCTCAGACTTGCTAACAATGTCCTACGATTGACTTCTGGCATGTTTTAATCAGAGAATACCAACTTCTACCCTCCAAAAGAGTCTTTAAACACAACAGGCTGAAATAACCATCTTTTTACGTAAGACTATGGTGTTGCTAAACCGAAATCAGCGCAATGCTAAACTAAGATTTAAATGTGATATGTTAAATTGTTATGACTGTTTGAAGGTGTTTTAATACTAACTAACATAAATGTGAAATGTGTAACTCGCTGTTCATATTGATGTTTGTATATCTTGATCGGAACCGCATAACTGTTTGGGATTAGATGTTTTGCATCTATTTTTAGTTGTTTAGCATCTCATGTAGTTGTTTTGTGTCTATTTTTAGTCTTTATATATTTCTTTGTAGTCCTTTTGGATGTTTTGCATACATTAAGAGTATATTTTTGGTTGTTTTGCGTCTATTTCTGGCCATTAAGAGTCTCTTTGAAGTCGTTTTGTGACGATTATAGAGATATTTTATGAACTCTTTGGCCCCTGGGCCTGTGCCCGATAAGCCTGTTTCAGTGTAATGAAAGAAATATATCTTTGTCAACATAATTAGGTTTGTATGACAGAGAAAGAGTGGGGAAGGAGGTTGCACGCTTGTCATTTGGCACGTAAAAGCCACAGCTTGAGTGTGTGTGCATGTATATGTGATTTTACAGATTGTGCCTCATGTCAGCATGTGTGTGTACAGTAACATGGACGATAGATGGATGAATTGTGCATGCTCTGCAGAGCTGAACCCACCTCTGGGAGGAACTGTGTCACAACATGGCTGACTGAAGACAACACAATACACACACACGCACACACACACTTCATGCTACTCTGTCACACTCACATTGCTGAGCATTTATCTCCCAGCCTCACTGGGGGAAATTAACTTCCACATTTGTGTCATAACTTGCAGCCTTAAAGCATGATGAATCCTAAACAGAATTCAATAAAATGCTCAGACTTTGTGTGAGAAATGTGCGCTATAATAAGGATATGATAAAAGATTCTGCCCCAGTTCTGTTTCATTTGTTTGCGACTGAGATTGCCTAGTTTATAATTTATTCCCCCTCCTTTTGTTTTGCCTCCTTCGCACAGACTTCCTCCTTTTCCGTCCTACTTCCATTTAAAATTCACACTGCCAGCAGCCCTCATAATTACATTTTGGGATGACTCATCTAGGTCTGGGAAATTAATCCACAGGCTTACAGGATCCAAACCGTTACAAAGGGAGATCCCTGGAAGACTCAACAGCACGCAAAAGGGAACAGAGAATGGAAACATGCTTGAAAAAAAATAGAAACTGCAAGTTATGGAAAAAGGAAAGAATGAAAGCAATTCTTGGCTGCAATGCAAGCACAGTGAATAGAGGCTAAAACAAAAACAATAGAATAGAAAGTGATGAAAGTAGGGCAACTTGATACTAAATGGAAAGCTTTTCACAAGCTATTTCATGCATGTACATTAACCACATGCATGCATTTACAAGCCTTCCGAGCAAATGAAAGTATTATTTCCACTTATCCTAGCAGAGAGAACAAGTATGTCTATATTCATAAAAATCTCGGGAAATATTCGGTGAAAAATGGGCCAAATATTCGGCTCTCCCTCGGCTGACTTTGCAGTAATTGAGACACCAGCCCCAGCAGACATGTGGAAATGGGAGCCGTGTGTGTGTGTGTGTGTGTGTGTGTGTGTGCGTGCGAGATGGTATTTATTAATCCGCCAATGCTAGATGAGTCAGCGCAGCAGCCTCGGAGCTGAAATTGAGCAAATACAGTCTCAAGATTTTCCACGATTGAGCAGTGACACTAGCACAAGTGATGTGTGTGTGTGTGTGTGTGTGTGTGTGTGTGTGTGTGTGTGTGTGTGTGTGTGTGTGTGTGTGTGTGTGTGTGTGTGTGTTTTACATTTTGGGTCAGTTCCCACGGTTGTACTATGTGTCTTTGATGTATGAGAGCTCCCCCTCTGTTCCCTGTTTCACTTCCTTGTTCTGTCTCTCATGTCAGCGCTTGGCAGGCTGACAGTCTGGTTGGCAAATTCTATCTGCATCAAAAGGAGGGCGGCCAACTCAAAGTGCATTAATCCCAAAGTACGGGAATGTGTTCATTATCTTAAGAAGTATTGTGTCATAAACTGAAGTGATTGCTAAAAGGCAAAGGATTGGCCATCATATAAATAAGATGTTTTTTACAAGGGGCCCTACTATGCCCATTTTCAGGTTTATATATGTGTACTTTGTGCCTCTACTGTGACATGTCTCCATGCTTCAATGTTCAAAAAGCTTTTTCTCATACTGCCTGTGCTGCAGCACCTCTTTTCACCCTCTGTCTGAAACCAGAGCCCAGTCTGCTCTGATTGGTTAGCTGGCCGGCTCTGTTGTGATCAACTGCCAGTGATGTCTTAGCCTATCACGTACATGGGTTTGAGCGCTAGCCAATAGAAGTGCAAGTGTTACATTGAGATGTCATTATGATATGGAAGTAAAACAATGGAGGCCATTCTTGAATCATTTCATGACATTTCTCGATTATGGAAGTACTTTTCTATTGCATTCATTTTGGTTGTTATTTATACTACATTCAAATTGAGCTTCTCATAACTTTACACCACACATATTTCCCTATCTCCGACTGGACTGCATGAATGCTTTGTGCAGCAGCTAATGATTTGTTTCAAATGCGCATGCTGCGTGTGTTCATGTGTGGGTCTGGAGTATTTTGTGTACAAAGCAAAGTTCAGCTGATAAGGCCCTGCAGTCTGCCAGATGCTCGCGCCGTAAGGATAGAATACATGTTGACTATTTCATGTCAGGAGTGGTCCTTCAGGAAGTAGATGTGATACTGTTAAACACATAGATGTTTGATTGTTAACTGTAGTTTTTTCTCGGTAGAAATCACTGATAATATCTTCTTTTGGTTAGTGATAAGGAAATGGTTGTCGGTTAAGGAGAGTGTGTTTAAAACAATGTGACGGTGACTCAAATCCTCCCAGGTTTATTGACTTACGGACTGAATGGGCGTGGATCTGAGAAGTCAGTTATCTGGCATGATTCATTGGGGTTTAACAAGTAAAAAGAGGAGAGAAAGACATGCTGTTTTAATTCCTTGTTCTCTCTGGGAAATTCTTGGGGGAGAAAAAAAGAGTTAAACTCCTTCCTGACGGACTGGTTTTGCAGATTTTTATGATTCCTGCTGCAGATTAGTTTCATTTTTGAACCATAAATGACCTCGTTGTATCTAGGTGCCATTCTGCAAAATTATGTATTTTGTTGAAACAGTTAAACACCCAAAAGGATTCAGTTTAGTAATAAAGGAGAAATCAGGAATTCCTCACAGGAGAAAGAGATAGCATAATTACTAAAATGATAATAGTAAAATTGTTTTCACTGAACTTCCTCTCTGCCTTATAATCCCTTTATCGCTTATAATTTCAGCACCGCTTCAGATAACACAGTAAGAGCTGCATAGCGTGCAACTGTAGCAAAAGAAAATAATCTGTAAACTTCTCAGTTTTTCTTTCTATAAACAAAATAAGGTTTGAATGAGGTGAAAGAAATGTAAAAGACAGCATCAGGGATCTCCTTGTGACTACGTTTCAAAAGAGAAACGACATCATGCATCTCCTCCAACGAATCAGCTGGAAGGAAAACTATCGAGATGTATTGTGGCACCTGAACGCAACACTACTCTGCCTGCTATGGGAAGTCAAACAAAACTACAAACAAAAATGTGAGAAAATAAACTGTTCCACACCAGAAGACAACAAACTCTTTGTTATTTCACACCAACAGTTTGCAAAACCAGTGGTGCACCAAACAGGAAATGACCCAACAGGAAGAGTAGGCAGAAACACATTATGAAGAGAGCTGGCACTGAACTACTGGCTGCTGAAACTAAAAGGTCACAACTGCAGGAATTCCCCTACAATGTGAACGTCCTTAGGGTTTGATGAAAGAAGGTTGTTATACTTTGTTGTGTTGTGTGTTTAGATGCAGGAAGTGAAGCTGCTGTCACCTGGAAGTGGAAGATGCCGGCGTATCCCTGCTGGAAGCCCTGTCCGTGAGGAACCACTCGGTGGAGGAGGTTGTCGTTCAGGGTCAGCGAGGCGATGGCCGCCAGCAGCCAGCAGTCGCCTGAGGACACACACACACACACACACACACACACACATACACACACACACACACACACACACAGTTCTTATTACCCTGAACTAACATAACTAAAAGTTACCATATCACATCTAAGCGTTCACTAGAATGACAGCAGGTTATTTATGTGAAGCAGGGGTCCGACACTTACTTTGACTACTTTCCAATGTAATAAAGTCCATTTACTCAAGTACTGCACTTTAGTACAATTTTGAGGAACTTGTACCTAACCTGAGTATTTCCAATTTAGGCTAATGACATTACACAAGCCAATATTCTACTGTTTACACCACTACGTTCAATAGACAAAAATAAGTCAGATAGTTTGTTTACAGATTCAGATTAAAAGCTAATACAAATATTGCTAATACATTTTACTGTATATGTGTCTGAAAAGGGCAGTAAGGCATAACAAGTACTATAACTTTTGGTATTTTAAGTATAATGGCAGTATTGGCAGTGAGACTGTTAAACAATTGAACTGCTGAAACAATTTCAAAACATTCATCTGCTACTTAGTAATATGTATCTACTATCTAATATATATCATTCCAATAACTTGTATATAGACTCGTACTGCACTATTCCACATACTCACTTTATTTTAGAACTATTTTTCATTTTGTATTGCTCTTACTATCTGTATTATTATTATGTTGCATTGTTGGAGAAGCCTGTGACATAAGATTTTCAACAACATAATTACTCTGTAGCTATGTTAGTTTGACAATAAAGAACCTTGAACCTTGATAATTTGATGCCAATACTTCTGTACTTTCGCTTTAGATTTTTTACTTTACAATTACAACTTGTACTTAAGTTAAACATCCGAGTACTTTTTCTTCCACTGCTAATTTCAAATTGAACAGACTCTCTACATCTGTTCCAACATTAGCAGAGAGCAAAAAACTATTCTCCATAAATCTCTTCATCACTCATGCTGCTGAGATAAAGCTTCCAGCTTCAGGGAAGACCCTTGTGAAACTGGAATTTTCCCAGTAAAGAGAAGAGACTTGAACTCTGTTTGAACAAGCTTAGCCCTCGGGGAAATGGGAGAGGCACTTGAGAAGGGCAGAAACTACCTAAGCTCCACAATAAGTGTTGTTACCAGGACATAAAGCCACCGTTATGGGGTCGCACAAGTCTCTCGGAACGTAATTTTGACCATCGTGCTTTTACACACGAAGGCATGTGAGCTGAGATAGTATCAGAGGTGGATAAAGTACCCAGATCCTGTACTTACTGTAGGTAAAAATAGAAATACTATGGTCTTTAAATACTCCATTACAAGTATCAGCATCAAAATGTAATGAAAGTACAGGGGAGTAAAAGTACTCATTCTGCAATATGGCCCATTTCAGTTACATAAAGTACGGAAGTATTATCTGCTAATTGTAAATCAATAGTAAACGTATGCAAAATGGCTCTTTCAAAGTATTATATGATCAAAGAATATTGTATTATCTTGTTTGTATCGCATGGACAAGCCTTTTAATCTTGTAATTTAGGAGCCAATTGTAGAGACTTTGTTAAACACATGATTGATAGGTAGTACTGCATCATATTATATCAGCATATCATGTGTTTTTATATAAAAAGTCAATTATAGAGTGTTAAATACATCTACTGGAGTAAGACGTACAATATTGCCTCTGAAATGTAGTGGATGTGTCTTACAACGATGCCGACAATATTATCGTTTATCGCAATAATTTCCGGGAACATTTATCGTCCAACAAAATTAATTATCGTGACAGGCCTATCAGCTCGCCCACTCTGTTCTGATGAGATCACCACCGTTACAGCGGAACATCAGTGATTATGTGTTACAATGGCATTAGCAACCAGAAAATGACACCAGTAATGGCAAACAGATGAGAATGCTGCGTGGGGTCTGGGTGCCGTGACGTTGCGCGGCTCGCTGCTGCGAGGAGCGGACAGTGTGAGCTGGGTTCATTTCCTGCTTGCTGCGTGGGGTCTGCGAGACAGCGAGACTAGCACCGAGATATCAAAAATCAGAAGAATACGTTTTATAGGTCTTGTGACTGTTTTAAAGTTGGAATGAAGTCTCTAGCTGAAAGTATGTGGAAGGAGTAGCATTTGGCGCACGGTTGAGTTCCATGTTAAAAAAATAATTGAAAAAGCTGAATATTTAAAAAAGTCTAAAATATTTTGAAAAAGTTGAAAGTTTCCCATCATGTGCTGAAAAGGCTGAATATTTTTGATATTGAATGGTTTCTGTAGCTGAAAGTAGGCTGAAGTTATCGACGGCAAATATTGGTTGAAAGAAGAAGAAGAGAAGAAGAAGAAGAGAAGAAGAAGAAGAAGAAGAAGAAGAAGAAGAGACGAAGAAGAAGAAGAAGAAGAAGAAGAAGAAAGAAGAAAAGAAGAAGAAGAAGAAGAAGAAGAAGAAGAAGAAGAAGAAGAAGAAGAAGAAGAAGAAGAAGAAGAAGAAGAAGAAGAAGAAGAAGAAGAAGAAGAAGAAGAAGAAGAAGAAGAAGAAGAAGAAGAAGAAGAAGAAGAAGAAGATTAAAGAACAGAAGAACTATAGTGGACAGCGTTCCACTAATAAGATGAAAAGGATACTTGAGTAAAGATTCCAAAACAGAGATCTGTGTTGTGTTATCTAAAAGTTGATTGGTCTATTCTCATATCTTGAAAGTCAAAGGAGCTTTCTGTTTCATTATAGCTGGTGTTTATCGACTGCTGGTTAATGATACACAGGACTTTTATATGAAAGGTAATTATAAAATAGGGCAGTATTTACACTCTTATCTATCATATAATCCCCTGATAGCAGATGGTGGCTCAGCTAACAGATAGCCTCGTGGATAAAGATCTCTCCGGCTGTAAAACAAAGTGAAGCATCGTGTTTTCAGGCTCAACATTTTTGGGGTTATTGTTTTACAATCCTGCCGCTCCTCTGGGAGTGAGGGGGCTGGGTAAAGTATTGCATTTGGAGATGGGGGATGTCACTTCCTGCACTCAAACAGAGAGGGGGGGGTGGCCTTGTTTACAGATGTGCGGCAGAGAAACAAAGCATGAATTATAGATGCAGCTCTGTGTCGAGCAGGAAACATCTCAGGCTATGAACTGTTCACGTTCCTCCGTTTCTCTCTCCTTCAGGCTGTCCATCTCCATCTGACACTCACACTCAGTTTGCTCTGCTGTCTCTCATCAGCCATGCTTCAATCCTTACTGTATGCAATATGGCAGGAGCTCAGTCTTATTTACACATGGAAGGTGGGTTCTAGACATGGATGCATTAGGAGCTGATAAATAATATTCTATGTGCATTGATGTTCTTTACTTTTGACTAAATTATCATGATTTACAATATTTGAATTGTGCTTACATCAATTGTACACATTAAGACAGTTAAGTGGTACTTCTTAATCTTTTGAAACTGTTATTATGTGGCTCTGGAGAGGCTTAAGTCTGAGAAAAATAACCTGTGGCAAATGGAAAATTAAGATAAAAAATCCAAAGCAGAGAAACAAAAATATATAGAAAAGAACTATAAAATAGTGAACAAATATGTACAATTTATCTGTTTAAAAATGCTAAATAAATTATAAAAATGTGTAAAATAAATTATAAAAAATTCTAAAGTGCAAAAAAAAAAGTCTGACTGATCAAATAAAATGAGAAGACAAAAATGTACATATTTTTATTTATTTATTTCCTGCATCAAGAAATGGGATTGTAACCATTTGCATGCCTCTATTCAATCACCTGTTTGTTCTGGCTTTTATCAGCATTTCTCACTTTCTACAGGATTACATTTAAGTGTTTTCTCTCCTCTCCTGACCTTTAATAGCTGGATGAAGCAATAGTTGAAACAGATGAAACAGATGGGAACTCACCCAGAGATCCCTGACAGATGTCTGTGCGAGAGGCTCCGTCTACGATGAACTCGGGGCGCTTGCAGAACTCCTGTTAAGAGAACAAACACAAACAAATAAAAAAAGTATTGCTTGTAGATATCCATTTTACAGGCTCACAACATGAGCAGTGTTTCTCATGCTGACTGCGATGACTATTCACAGAAAGTACACAATGCATGGATTACACATCACAATGTCATAGAAAACCTCCACAGTATGCTTTAAGATTGCTTTCTGATGCAAAACATACATTTAAACTCCAGAAATAAGTCTCAAATAAGTCTGTTTTAAGTTACAGGATATCTGTTTTACATGCCTATCTTACAGCATTTAATTGGTCAAAATAGGTAAAGCACAGGTGTTACTAATAACGCTAACAAGGCTCTGTTCTGTTCTGCTAAATAGAATTCAGCCCAGATTAGTTTAATTGTTTAAAGCTGTGCTTTTCATACTGTTAGTCGAAATGCCTTCCATTTAAAAAAGGTCTATTCATTATTTTTTAAGCTAAATTGACGAGTAACCACTGGTTTACTTGTTAGTTTTCTTATACATATCGGTAATGTCTCTAAACGTGCTTATTATGCAGATTATGAAGTAGACACTTCAGTGTGTGTCTCCTGTCCGCGTTCTTTTTGTTTCTTAGTATTTCCTGCCTCCTAAACCATCTACGACTCAGCATGTATAGCGTGAGAAACCTCCCATGGAGATATAAAAAGAAATATTACATTTATTCCTGTGCACCACAAACACACACAGATGTAAACACACCATTGTGCACATGGTTGAATTCACAGAAACACTCAATCACACACACACAGGCTTAAAGGGACAGTTCGTATTTTTGTATTGGGTACCCAACCTTAATCGATGTATTAAGTAGATGGCAGTGAAAACGTCCCCGGTTTTCAGAAACAGACCAAGTAAAAAGCACAAAGCTAAGCAATGTACTGCTGTAATGGAAACCGCATCAAAAAGTATTTTAGAAACCTAAAAATTATATTAGTTTACGATACATTTTGAATATTTTTCACTTCATGTCAGACAAGCCCTTCCAATTAAATTACAATATAACTGATATTGGGTGGCTTGAATATGTTTATTGCTAATAGTATATTGCTTAGCTTCCTGCTAGTACTCCTTTCTGGTTCTCCAAAGAAAGAGCGTGCAAACCCCCATCTACTACACTTACTATAAATAAGTACCCCCATGTAACCCCTCTTCAAAAACCATCCCTTTAAGTTCTCTTTTTCAGGTTCAATCAGAGCACAGATTTAGGGGGAAATGTGAACACCATGTACCGTCTTGTGCGGTGTAAATATTACAGATCCTGTTGTGCAGGCTGGGCTCATGCATTAGAAAACATCAGTAATTTATCGAAAAAACGACACTCCGGGAAGCATTAGATTCACAGCAGCACACGTTAACACACTAGTGGTCTACACGCAACACACAGCAGCTCTCGCACTCAAATAGAAGCCTCAAGAGGAGCTAACACGACCCCCTGAGATCACGACTTGGCTCTCTGCTCTATTACTGCAGCGACCTGTCACGGTATGTGCAAATCATACCGTAATGGCTCTCTTCAGGGCTGCCGCGATAACACATAATGAAGTCAGTTTCACTTTGTTCTGGGGTATTTTTGAGCAGATACAGTCACAGGGAAGGATTGGAGGTTTGAGGAGATACTTGGGCCAATGAAAAGCAGGAAGAAGAGTAAGAAACCTCTCCGACACACTCCTGACTGGTGTTGCGGGGAACATTTAAATGACATGGACCAATCATCCCGGGCAGAAAGATTTGTTGCCAAGCAACAGATGAAATTCAAGCAGAGGAAGAGCTGCTTGGGATGATGAAAAAATATTCTAGCAGGTAATAAACAAGTTGGAGGGATAAAATAAGAGTTGCCTGCTCACTGCCAGAGCTATAAGTCAATGTCTGAGGGATTTTATGAAATCATCACGTATAAAGTTAGTTTAGCTTTCTCACAAACTCTTAAAGTAAAGGGCCATTGCCTCTTATTTGCATGTTATTGTCCATGTACTTATTATTGGATATACTATACAGTATGTTAAGTTTACATATCATCATAAATTGCCAAAAAATACAAAAAAGGGTCCATTAGCAAGTGAGTGTTTGTTGCCGAACAAGTGAACATTCGACCTAAAATGCTCAAGATTCAAAAATCGTAGGATTTATTTTTGCACAATTTTTAAGCTTGAAAGGTCACCTATTGTGCAATATCCACTTATTCATGTCTTTTATACTTAAATATGTGTCCCTGTGTAAAGAGATTTGGACGCTTCTGGAAAAAAGATTCCATGATCAGATTCTGGCCACTATGTGTTTTTTTTAGTTGTGCAACCATTAGCCAATCACCAACCAAGGTAACCCCCCCACCACCTTATCACCTGAATCTCCTCCCAGAGCACCATTGTGTTCTTTTTAACCAAATATCTCTCAGAGGGGCGTGGCCAGCAGCAGCTAATTAGCATTTATAGCCATGGACACAGAATCAACACTTTTGCTGCTGGGCTGAAACAGAGGGGTTTATGGGATGCTACAATTATCTGTTTTGTATTTGAAGCCAAACACTTCAGAGACATGTTTTGGGTATATCTGAGACCTATAATATATTGTTGAAAAAGAGTATAATAGGGGACCTTTAAACACTATCCACTCCAAACAAAACTCTCTTAAAAGTCTGAATTGTTAAGAAATATCCCAGCTACGAAACATTTCCAGCAAAAATTAACCAGACCCCTCCCTTTCTCACCGTGGGCCTCATCCAGCGGACGCCGGAGGTCTTGGCGGATCTGGGGCCGAGCTCGTCGAATCCCAGAGACGATGTGGCACAAGCGAACAAATTATCCTCAAACAGCCTCCTGCCCTGGAGACACTGGGCCTTCAGATTCTCGTAGTCCTGACCCAAAAACTTCACAGCCTTGTGATTCTGTCCCAGACCTTCATCACGGTCCCACTGGCTCCTCAGCTTGGCGGCCATACCCGTAGCGACAATGGGCTCCTCCATCCTGAGCTTTTGAGAGGAACTGGAGGGTCGGCTGTCACTCTCTGTCGGATGTTTGTAGGTGTGAAACTACAATACGATGTTAGGATGTCTCAATGATTAATGTGGCAACTGTGTAGCTTCAGTTTTAATGTAAAGCCCCCCGACAGTGCTTATGTAAATTTGATATGGTGTGCTAATGGCTTCAAGGCTTGATCATAAATCAGAATGAAACATTAGTGGCCATTAGGAAGCTATGAAATATTGACCAGGCTGCTGCTTCGTTGCGGTACGTGTGGTTATGCTGTAGCTGGGTGCTTAAAATGCAATAACAATCACAAGTGTAGAGGCTCCAAATGTAGAAGCTTAATGGAGAGAGATGGCGAAGGCAGATCGTCCAGTGAGAACCAATCACTTTTCTGAGGAGATGTCAACAGGAGAGGGGTGCGTCCTGGTCCCAACAGCAGATACAATCTAAAAGAAATAAGTAAAAACATTAGAAAGTATGCAGAGATGACAGTCCATAAATAGCTCTACCTGGACAAAAGCAACACTTATATGTAATGTCTATACAGTACGTGCATTCAGGGTTTAAAAAGGCAAATGAGCCCTGCCTATTTATTTTCAGTCAACTCTATACCCACATGCCAAAGGGATTAGTCACAATAGGCAGGGCCGTGCTACTTTGACTGTGGGCCACTGAATGTGTACACGGTGTCAGTCAGAAGCGAAACAGAGTAAATGTTTAATCAGAAGAGGTGTATGAACAAAGTGGTGGATGGCCGCTCTGTGCATGAAGGGGTGGGGGGGTTATTCATTGTGCACAGGGCTAAAAAAGGGTGCTCTTTGTGTGAATGTTGATGAACAATGAAGGCAGCTCTAACCCAGAACAAGCAAATGCTCTCTGAGGCTCTTTAATTAAGCAGAACCAGGGAGGAGGAAGTGTAAACTGTCAATTATTACCGTGGAAGCTCTTGACAGAACTGGAGCTTTGCAACAGTTCATCTCAGTTCCTTTGTCTTTGTTTTCTTAGATTTGCCTCCTCCAGTCGCTTTTTTAAAAATTTCTAACACACAGATGGTTTATTTTTAACTTCTCTCCTTTTTTTTCAAATGTATTTCAGCCCCGTCTCTTTTTTACTACAGCGATTACACTATCCAAGCTGAACACTCTTCCTGTTTCAAGACTCAGACGCCTGTCAACAGAAGCTAAAAAATGGTTTGGCTCTTATTGGCTCAGAGGAACTCCATTGCTCTCTGTGCACCACACCCATTACAAACATCTCTGTTTCACTGAGTGAAAAATGTGGCTGCTAACAGAACATGTGGTTACGACATCACATTGAGATGTTCAACTTTGCAGACTGTAGAGTTATAATGAGAGATTTTATATGATTGCCATTCCTGCTGCTGCTAGCAAAGGGGAGTACTACAACTACTACTACCTAGCATGAGTACTACAATTATTTTAACTGTTACAAGGCAGTACAGTAGTGCTAGCAGTTGTAGCACTAGCACTGCTAATGCTACAACTCCTACTTTCACTCTAAAATATATAAAAGTTTACTATTCTGTCATTTCTATGAGAGTTATTATTAAACCACAACTACAGATACTTTAGCTGTCATTAATATTTTGCTACTAAACACAATTATTTTTTGTTACAGAATACAGACCAAAATGTGCAGTACTGTTGAATAAACTATCAAAACCGAGGAGTGGAAGCTAACATTAGCATTGAATTTGGTTGCAGATATTTACTTTCTTAATCAAACACTTTCTGATTTAAATGAGAATTTGGCCTATATTTTCAGACTTGTTTATTCTTCAAATTAAGGTTTATTATAAATCACTTTGGCATTGGTAACAAAAGTAATGTAATACTTATTAGTACTATGGATTCTTTGTATAAATTACCACGACTTCCATCACCACTACATGTCATTTTTTTAATGTTTTGTCATAAATATTCAGCACAAATAGCCAACATAATCACATTTTAAGGCACCAAATATACCTAATGCTGAGTAGTTTGTAACTAACAGTTATGAAAGGAAATTAACTCATGTACCCAACAGCAAAGTAAAACATATTCCAAATACATCCCAAACATTTGGTGGTTTTCATCTTGGCTGCGTGTTATCGGGGCGCACTCTGCCCATCGTTAGTTCAATCTGGCTGTAATTAATATTTAATTTAGCCTTGCATGTGAAATACACTTCCATGACACACCTCACACACACACACACTCCCGCACACACACACAGATATCCTCCACCTCAGTGCAGGTAGTGACATCTATGAGAAATGACAAGCAGGAGACTACTCATCCAGACACAAAGAGAAGCCAGAAGCTACAGTAAAAACAACACAATTCCAATACAGAAAAATATTCAAGACTCTGCATGAGCTTATTCAAATAGATAAGTAAATATGTGTGCACCCAAACCATAACATAGTTTGTTTTTGTATTATGTCAAAGCTATGTATTGCATTAGGTTACATACATAAAGTGTTATTCTTAGCTTGTGTTATGCTATTTGATCAATGACAGGCAGCTTTAAATGGAAAAATATGCAGAATGACGGACACGACAGGGGCCACATGAGTTTACCAGAAGTCAAACAAGGATACAAACGTCAATACAGTATATGTCACTACTGCTTTTCTGCTGATGTGAGTCTGTGTCCAATGTGGTTTCCTTCTCACAACACACACATGAACTCAGACTGCTTATATACATGCTGCTTGCAACTAATGCCTGTGGGTGTGTGTGAGTTCCAGTGTTTATGTTGTGAGTAAGCATTTCTGACCTCCCTCCTCTGGTGTATTTCTGCATGCAGAGTTCATATTCCAAGCACTGTGAAATGAAATACCAAAAGTGTTTGTTGCAAGCTATGGGGGAAAATAGATCTGCAGAGCAACTAGACACAAACAGTGTCCAAAGGAGAGAGAAAATGCTGACTTTTGGAGTGATCTTTATCAAAGTAGGAAGTAGAGATTGGCTTCAAACACACTTAAATACAAGGTGTCCATGTACTATTTTGAGGGGTTTAATTATAGTGGATATCAAGCCATTTAGGACTGTTTATACCCGTGCATGGCTCACACAGATTAGCATGATGGTAGGTGTGGTCCCTGAGAGGAGAAACAGACAGTGTCCAGTTGTCAGATTGCAACTTTCTCAAGTTGACCAACATGAGCAGCTGTTCGACATTTTTTCGCTTCACCTCACCTCCCTCACATCAAAGATCGTCTCTGCGTACAGTGAGCAGAATAAAAGCGAAAACAAGAGATTTTGCTGAACTAAACGCATTGGCACATATCACCGTTTAATGGAGTCGCGAAAGTTGTACCCGACTGAAGAGTTTGCTTTACATGGGTGGTAGCAGTTTTCACAACACAAACTTTAAGATCTCCTCATTGGTGTTTTTTAAAAGTTCAGGCTATGTCAAAAGCATTTTAAGATCGCTTCCTGCAGCGCGACACAAACCAGACTGGATGAAGGAATGTTATAATTACCTTTTTCAGGACGTTTCCTTAAAAATGCAGTTATTTAGACATTCAATATTCAACTTGGCTTTCCTTCCATGCTTAGTGTGGGCTTTACTCCCTCCTCTGCTCTCTAACAGCGTATTTATTTAGAAACGCCCTGCTTCTGCCCTGATCTATATGATCAAATGTGCAGACCTCACACTGCGTCTGCGCAATGCCCGCTAGTCATAAAACACACTACACCGAAGAGGAGGGCTTTATTCTCGTAGCTTTCATGAAGTTGATTCGCTCCTGATTTCTGCCCAAAGCTGTGCAGTGTTGCCGGGTTGAATAATAACTCACTGTAGGTAATTACATTGACATTAGATAAAGTTTTCACAATAAAAAACAGTATTGTGCCTGGAAACCTCCCCCTTTTCAGTGCTTGAATGTGACAAATGATATGTAAAATGTTGATCTTCTGATTTTAAATTCCGTTATCCTTAATTTTAGAGGAAAATATTGCCTAATGATATATTATACATTCTTTAAACAAACCTTTTTAAAGCTGTTTTAATTAAGTTGAGTAGCGAAATTAACTTAAAAGCTTTCATTAGAATCCAACTGAATGTTTTTTTGTTTTTTTTTAACGATGATTCAAAACGAATGATTGTGGGGCTCTTACACAAAAACTGTACATTTTAAAGTCTGACAAGCCTTATTCAAGTTGTCAACACTGACCTCTAGTGGCTAGAGGTAATAAATGCAATGTTCTCTTTTTTCGGACTTCATGTCCCAGCAGTCAGTGCGGCAGGATGCTTCCCGTCATCCTTTGCGCTAGTCCCGTTTCTGCGCCACTCGCGTGTTTTCCGCCGTTGTTTCATTGAGAGAACCTGAACATGGCATCCGACGGACCACCGGGTACCGACCAAGCTCCGTCCGATTTAGGGACTGCTATCGCGGCTTTGAACTCATGGACCCACCGGGAGCTTCAGACCAAGCTGGCGGAGATTGGAGCGCCTACGATGGGTAAGAAAAAAAAGGGAAGACGGAGAGCCATGCTGGAAGAAGGACTGTGTTTAGCTAACAGTAGCTAGCTAGTTGCTAATGTTAGCTAGCAAAACGCAACACTATCGTTGCAATGAGTTGAGGCTAGGCCTTAGTTGTGTTTACAGTCTTTAAACGGTATATTTAGTTTAGTTTAGTTTCTTACTATGCAATACATACACCAATATACTGTGTTTAAGCAGCACTGGAAACATACATACTGTGTTGTAGCTAAACAGCTAGCAATGTAGCTGTTAGCTTGCAGGCTAACTTGAATGAAGGGTCATCTAAGCACTTACATTATAAGTCAGTTTAGTGTTGATAGATAGATACTGTATTGCTCCCAAATTGGGAAATATTTTGTTACAGCAGCAGTGTTTTCTGGCATTACAATATTTAAAAGGTGAAATAAAGTATAAACATAGCTAAATGAAAACATGACAACATCTAAATCAATTATTCAATACACTTTTGAAACTTGGAAAACACAACCAAAATGCAAAGTGCCCGTGCAATGTTACACTTACAATGTACATTTCTTCCTGTAATTAAGTTTGTTTGTCATTCCTCAGGTCTCAGAGAGGAGTTGACTGACAGACTGAAGGGCTACATGATTCAGGTAAACTGCAAACTCTCTGCCTTAAGTGTTAACCATGCATGCTGAAAATAATACACCTTTATTGTACAATCTAAGTCTTAGATACTGTTGATCAAAAACTCTTAGCTCAAAAGTATTCACCGAATTGTGCGTCCTTCTCTCTGCAGACTGGGATCCTCGTCAGCAAACATAAGGATGACAAGTCAATGGGCTCCCAGGTAAAAGCTGAATATGTGTGAAACTTTTTATATGTTCATCATTGTTTTATCATGCACCATGTTCTCACATTTTTGATGTAAATATAGTCGGATCACACACCCTGCTGTTGGCTCTAAACAGATTTCCTGGACATGATGTTATCAGCTTTGTGTGTATTGGCTCCTGATGATGCATATTCAAATTGCATGATATATTTGCATTTTACACCTTTTTAAGGAAGTGTAATGATGTGTAGCACAAATATTCCACGCTTAAATTAAAACCCTTCAGTTATTTGTACATTTCTTGCCAAAACAGTTACAATTTGTACGTGTGTTGTCACTGTCTGCTATTCCTAATTTGGGGACAGAAATGCTGCAATGAATAAAGGAATCTCCAGTGTCAAACCCCCCAATCATCCTCACTGTCTCTTGTGTTCCCTCCTCTCCAGATGCACGGTATGCCGCCCATGCCTCCTGGTATGGGCATGCTCCAGGCTATGAGCATGATGCCCGGGGGTCCGCCTCCACCTGGCATCCACATGGGCATGGAGCCCCCGGGTATGTGCCCTCCTGGCATGTCTCAGGACGATCAGCTGAAGATGGCCCAGCACCGAGCGGCCATGGTGCTGCAGCAGGAGGAGAGAGCCAAGCAGCAGGTGAAGTTCTATTCCCTTTAAACACAATACTAAGGTGCAATCAGTTGTGAGCTTGTAGGATTTAAAAACAACAAATAACTTTTTTTTTTTCAATGTATTTACAATTGGCAAACAGTACCAGCTTCTGTAACAAACACTGTTAGAAAATAGTTTTAGTACTATCTAAAAAGGTTAAAAATCTCACCTCACGACAATAACAGATATGCCGCATCCCTTTTCTCTTCTCTTGTTTAGTTCGAACACATTCAATTCTACTAATTTTTTAATAACAATGTATTTAAAGTGCCATCTCCTTTTATTCTTATATCAGTCAGCGATGATGGAACACGAGCGTCATCAGCCTGGCGGCCAAATGAGAGGTATGTCAGCGATGTCTTCATAATATTCACACATCTTACCCCTGCTGCATGTTTGCTTACCCATGAAAAGTGTGGGTTTTTTGCACAATTTCCTTATACTTTACCAACAAAGTAAAGAGCGTTTATCACCTGCAAACTGTCTCTCTGCAGGTATGGATCCTCGTGGGCCGCTGCCTCCTGGTGTCAGTATGATGCCGACCCAGAAACAGAGAGTGCCCCCCCCTCCAGGAGAAGATAACAGAGAGGTAAGGAGAACCCCCCAAAGTGTTTTTATAAGTTGGAATACAGAGACTACACTGACCTCCCAGCCTTCAAAACACTGACCAAGTCTCATCTTTACAGGCTAGCTTTTAATGCTCTGTCCTTGTCATAATTGTGCTTTTACTGCTCGATTTTTTTTCTGTTGCCCTTTTGACGGCACGTGTACATACATTAGTTTCCTAAATCAAGCAAAAAGATACATTTCTAGTGTTAATTTGGACCAAGATTGTTCTTCAGGGACTCGGATCTCTTCCTGATTTTCAGCGGGAGACTACCTGTGCTACTATCTTAGTTACAAACTTGTTTTGCTTCCACTACAGGCCTGGCAGAATGAGGAGGTCAGCATCAGCGGACCAAAGATCCCTCAGGCTCTGGAGAAGATCCTCCAGCTGAAGGAGATCAGACAGGAGCAGCTCACCGACCCCGCAGGTCAGAACAGCTGATCATCAATGTTTTACTGAAATACATGTATTTGTCCGAGTGTTAGACACTAGGATGCTGTTGGTATGTTTTAGCATTCTGGTTCTTATCTGATTTGTGTCCTTTCTCTTCCCGCTAGAAGAGGAAGACGATGAGGCAGGAGACATGGACCTGAACCACTCCTCTGCTCCGGTCATGTCCGAGACGGAAGACGACGACAGTCAGATATCTAAGAAAGATGTAAGTCTTTTTCTCTCACCATCTGTCACAGTAACTTGTTATATCTCAGTGGTTTTGTGCTCGAATATAGTCATTCTGAGACCAATACAGTATAAAATCATCTTGTATATTTCAGTCATGTTTCATTTATTAATGACGCCACAAGGGTTGTTGTTCCTTAAACTAGGGATGCTCCGATCGCCAATTTTGGGGGCGATCCCCAGGAATCAGTATCCGATCGAATGGGCGGGGCCTATGGGGATCTTCCATTTAAAGTGATGTTTACAACTCAGTTAATGGGGCTCATTCACTGGCGCTTCCACAAACAACAACCAACATAATTATTACATTCAAATGAAGTACATTATTCAAGTTTACATTAACTTTGGATAATAACACGGGAGAAATTAGCGGAAGCGCTCTCTTTTCCTCTCTCTCCTGACAGCCGGTCCCTATCCGTCTCATGCAGCTCGCTGATCCAGTAATGAGTGACCCGACAGTGAAGAATAAATATATTTATAACTAGTTTTGCGTGTTCGAGAGGTAGATAAAATAGCTAAGTGTGTTAGGTCTAACTATTAATGTGTGTTTTGCTCCGCTCACCGGTCCGTCACAGCGGGTGGAGCTGCAGGATTTCTGCTTCACACACGTTGCATACCACTATTTTATATTTATTACCTTAAAATACTGCCAGACCGGTGAAGCCATTTTGGCGAGCTTGTTTTGCCGCGCACTGAGAAAAGTGTCATGTATTTTACGTCCTCATTTTACGTCATGCGATCGGCTCTCGCGATTTTTAGAGAGCACCGATCGATCGGCAGAGACTGAGTATCGGCCGATATCGATCGGAGCATCCCTACCTTAAACTAACCTCAACTGAAGAAATAGGCCTTCTACATAGGACAGTGCTGTAATCCCAAGAAATAAAAATACATAACAATGCAAAAAGAACCATGTTTTTGGAAACTCGTAATTTTACAATTTACCAACCAACCATCCCTTTAGAAAAACCGCAGGCGCAGAAACCGCAAGAAGAAGAGCAAGAAGAAGCGGGCGCTGGAGAAGAAGGAGCACGCGGAGCAGCAGCAGGAGGAGCAGAAGAAGGATGGCAGCGATAAAGATAAAGACTCGGAGAAGGAGAAGGATAAGGAGAAGGAGCCCGAGGTGGAGATCGAGTACATCACAGAGGAGCCGGAGATCTACGACCCCAACTACATCTTCTTCAAGAGGATCTTCGAGGCGTTCAAGGTACCTACAGAGAACTATGGACCTCCTGTACTGCATTTAAATATGATTTCCTTTCTGCTGTAACGCTGCTTTGTTTTCTCTCAGCTGACCGACGACGTGAAGAAAGAGAAGGAGAAGGAGCCCGAGAAGACGGAGAAGCAGGAGACCGCCGTGCTGCGGAAAAAGGGCTTCGAGGACGAGAGGAAAGACAGCGACGACAGTGATGATGTTCGTATCCCTCTTTTGATCAAAATATACCCATGGAGCATAAAG